GGGCTACTCCCGCTCGTAACTAAGACTGAACTCAGCAGGCACCTTGAGCTGATCTGCCGCCTGGATGACTTGGTGAATAGGGCGTGTGCTCTTGACAACAAGGCTGCTGGTTCGACTCCCGCATGCGATGGTGGTACGCCCACCCGCAACTAAGATTGAACACAGCACCTTGAGCCTAGAGGCCACGAGCTGCCAACCGGAAGCCAGATGGCGACTGGTGCTCTCCACAATGAAGATTGAAGAACAACAACTTGGCTGGTCCCCTTCCCCAATTCCCCAACACTGTTTCCCTCCCCCAGCTCCCCAATAAAATCTTTAAAAAAAAAATTATCCAGCTCTGAACTTAATGTTTGTGTACTTTATGTAAATTATATTTCACTAAAAAGAAAAAAATGAATTTAGTGAGGTCACTCGGTAGAAAATCATTTACATAACGCCATTGTATCTCTATATATGAGCCCCAACCAAATCGAAAATGTGATGTAAAATACTATAAGTAATAATGTCAAAAATATCAATACCCAGGGGGCCGGCCGAGCAACACGTTGGTTAAGAGCTAGCTTGGGATGCCAGAGGGCCCTGGTTCGGATCCCACATATGAGGGCCAGTGACACTGCCCTCTACAGCTAAGATGCTGAACAACAGCTCAACCTGGAGCTGGGCTGCTGTGAGTTGCTGGCGTCGGCTGCAGCCCCTGCTGCAGTGGGTTGCCATGGGCTACCGTGTGTAGCCAGCAGCCAGCGTGAGCGGCCAGCAGCCGTCGGGAGTGGCCGCCCAGAAGCCAACGACTGATCTGCCTCGCCCAGGAAGAGCTCAATGATGGTGCCAACTTGGGCCAGTGAAGCAACTTACTCCACAACTAGACTGAAGAACAAAAGGACAGCAACTTGTCTGTTCCCATCCCCCAATTCCCCAATAAAAATCTTTAAAAAAAAAAAATCAATACCCAGGAATAAACATAATCAAAGAAGTGCAAAACTTACAGAGAAAGTTAGAGACTAAATGGAGAGAGATGCCACATTCGTGGATTGAAAGATTCAGTGTTGGGAAGATGTCAGTGTCCTTAAAATGATCTGTAGACTACGTGGATACCAACCAAAATTTAGGACAATGGCTCTCAAGTTTTGACCATGTCCCAGTTACAAACGCATTCACACAGCCACACATAAAACAAGAACAAAAGTCTTGTGAAACAATACTTACCCTTACTATTTAAGACTGGCTTTGATATTTTCTACTGTATCTCGAATGTATTTTTTTTAAAGAATTTTTTTGGGAATTAGGGGAGGGGAGCAGTCAAGTTGTTGTCCTTTTGTTCTTCAGTCTAGTTGTGTAGGATGCTGCTTCACTGGCCCATGTTGGTATTATCATTGTGCTCTTCCCGGGTGAGGCAGTCGCTCACTGGCCATTAGGACAGCTGCTCACGGTAGCTCACGGCAGCCCACCACAGCCCCACTGCAGCCTACGCCATTGCCAGCCACTCGCAACAGCCCAGCTCCAGGTCAAGCTGTTGTTCAAAATCTTAGCTGTAGAGGGCGCAGCTTACTGGCACATGTGGGAATTGAACCAACAGCCCTGTGGTTCAGAGCTCGCACTCTTACCAACTGAGCCACTAGGCCGGCCCTCAATCGTATTTTTTAATGCTGGCTTGTGCAGATACATTGATTTCATGTCCCACTAATGTGACAAGACGTGCCATGTAAGTAAAGACCAAGTCATTCTAGAAAATCATTGTTTATCTGAGAGCAAAATGACATGTAGGGGGCATTCTAAGTGGCTTGATGGGATATAAGAATAGAGAAACCATCTGACCTTGATACTGAGAATGCTGTCCTCCAGGTGGCCCCCTATATGATGCAACATGACAGGGGCTGCGCTCTAGCCTCGTCACATCACATTGAATAGTTTCCATGTGCATCACCTTGTATGTGCTTAGTTTTGTTTTTCCAACTTGGCTGATGCACAAAGTACAGGAAGCCTTATTACAGCCACTGACCAGCTTGTGTGTTAAACCCCCGTGATGTGAAAGGATGGTCTGGCCTAGGGACGTGGGGGTGGGGGTGGGGGCGCTCGTTCCTCCCTGACCATGTTGGGCACTGAAGGAGACAGTGAAAAGAGGGTAACAGAAGAATAAAAAACATATACAAATCACCTGTAAAAGTGGGGAGGCAGCAGGATGGGAACAAAGTGCTCATCTTTTATAGTGGGGTTGGGGAGTCCAAAGAAAATAATTGTGTAAATACAAGCAAATTTCCAGTTGAAAAACTCAGACTGATGTACGCTTATGATTAGATGTTAGGGAGATGAAGTGAGGGGGAAAAGGCTGATTAGGGCAAGATTTGGGGGTATGTGTGAGGCAGGCCTGAGGATCAGGGCCGGCGCGGATGGGGTCGACTTACAGTTTGGGAACTTTATTTTCATGCAGTGTGGTACTTTTATTAGTGAAGACAACGGTAGTTGTTTGGGTTATGTTCTCAACCAAAACTAGCTGCTGGGTGGAGCGCAGTTTTGGGGCCTGAGGCTGGGGCAAGGACCCACTGACTCATTCAGCAAGATATACTGAATGTGTGCCTCGCCTAATACTGGATGGTGTTGGGGACAGAGCAGTGACTGTGACAGCCCTGAGCCCCGCCCTTATGGGGCTCACATTCCAGTGTTGGAGAGAGAGCACAGACAAGTGACCGGATGATAAGATCATTCCAAGTTGTGATAGGCGCTCCAGAGGAATACACAGAATGACAGGAAGATCAGAGGGTTCCTGAACAGGAAGGTCAGTGACGGGACATTGGTCAGTGCTAGGATGGAACCTGGACCAGGACAGGGGAGGTGGGTGTGGGAAAGACATTCAAGAGGCAGAATGTTGGGAGGCCCCAGGTCTCTGGTTTGATGACAGGATGGACCCAGGAGAAGGAACAAGTGTGTGGGGAAGCCGAAGTGAGGTTTAGACGTGGTGAATGTGAAGTATCTGGGCGATGTCCAGGGGCCTCTCCCTCTCCCCCCTCTCCCCACTCTCCTCCCTTTCCTCTCTCTCCCTCTCCCCGCCCCCCCACACCATTTGACTTAATTTCCTGTGACCTGGATATGTACCCATTCCCATTTGCACACCCAGACCCACCCATGGCCCAGGTCCCAACACTCCTTTGACACTGAAATGCTGGGACATTCACCCAGGGATGCCAGCAGAAGCTGGTTTGGTGTGTGTCCTAGCGGCTGTTCCGCCACTGTCCTTCTGACATAAAGGAGCAGGTGACAGTTACAGGCCCAGCTGCGGGCCCAGCACTGGGCTGGTATAGATGGTCATCAGGAGTGAGGCAATTGCTGTCCTCTCCCCATTTTACAGAGGTGGCTCAAAGGGGGCTGTCATCGCCGAGGCTGTAGGTGCGGAGTCCTGGGTGGACCCCAGGCTGGCCTGACACTAGGACCTCATGGCAGGAGGGTGGCTCTCCACAGTCTGGACCCCAGGAACCCCGCAACACCAGTACCTATGTAACAGTAATAATAGTGACCACAGCGGCCGGCAGTTACTGCAAGAGCCCTGGGTACGCTCCTTGGATCTTACTGCTGGCTCCAGGCAGAGTTCCACAAACGTTTTCTGCCCCACCCTTTTAAAAAATGGAAAAATGCATACTCTCTAGTGCATTTTCAAGTTGACAACTAAAGCTTCTCTTTATAAGTTCAAGTACTTGCAAATATAATAATTTAGAGTGTATTATGAATATGACATTTTCAAACAGCTGGTACATCCTTCCTTTGAAGCTCTGATGTAGTCCACATACTCTGGTGAACTCGTACCAGCCGATGTCTGGTTTAAAACATAAAAATAAAAAGAACCAGCTCTTCTTTAACAGTCAGAAATTTTACATTGTTCTTTTTTGTCCTTGGATGTAACTTACAGTGCCCTTCCCGACAGAATTCTGTCTCCTGAATTATGTATCAGCAACCAAAATACGTACAGAAATTCAAATTTTAATTTTATTTAACTTCCTGTGACCATTAGGCTCTGAATGTTAAAATATTTTCTTCTGGATTGAATAATCTTTAAAACTAATAGTGCACTGTTAATATAAAGCATTTCACCTATGATGTATTTTCATGAATAATTATTAAACCCTAACAGTGAAATGGTATGTTGGATCTCCAAATATGCTAGACAGGACATCCCCAATAATTTCATATGTCCTTGGATGAATATTCATTATTACAGGAGTGAGTCAGGGCTCAGCATCAATCCTGCCTTGGTTTTTAAGACTCAAGTGCTGATAACTTTCCTTCACAAAGGAGCAGCTAGGCAAGTAAGTTTCTGTTTCAGCAGCACCAGTCAACCCTTGAGCTACCCCCAAGGTATGTTTCCAGAACCTCACGGTGAAGGCCTCACAACTGTTGGCTCCCTCTTCAGGGCTGATGGAAAATTTAGGAGCCAACAGCCTTGCAAAGAGGATTGGTTACCCCGCGTTCACAGCCACTTAGCATCAGTTCCCAAATTTCAGCTGCCCTTTCCTTGGGATCAGCTTCTGCTGCAGCCCTAACTTTGCATTTTGGGAAGATTTGGAAGAAAGGGGTTGTCCCTCCTTTTGGGAAATGGGTGGGGCGACAGTGCCCGGGGAGGACAGGGGCTGGCCAGTGAGTGGCTTGAGGGAGGAGCAGAGGGCTGAGCATCAGGCAGGTGAGTCTTTGCACCTTGCCGGGACTTTGTGCTCTGGGAGCTCCTTGTGAGCCTGGGGCACAGCTCCCAGTCTGAGGACTTCCCCTCTGCGGCAGGGTTTCTCATTCTTGGCTGCTTGCCAGAATCTTCTGGGCGATTCGAAAAGATGCCCTCGGGGTCACCCGGGTCGGGTGACTGGGCATTCCCGGGGGAGGCGGGGTTTGCGTCTTATTTCATGCTCCCCCTGGCGATTCTGTTTGCCCTGTCCCCATCGCTCCTACAAGGACCCCGAGGCGCGTTGGGGCGCGGCTGGCAGGGGGCTCCCAGAGCACAGCCTGACCCCTCTCTTCCCCTGCAGTGTACCACTGGGTGGAGATGCGGACCAAGATGCGCATCATGGGCTTCCGGGGCACAGTCATCAAGCCACTGAACGAGGCGGCGGCCGCTGACCTGGGCGCTGAGCTGCTGGGTGAGGCCACCATTTTCATCGTTGGCGGCGGCTGCATGGTGCTGGAGTACTGGCGCCACCAGGCAAACCAGCGCCACAAGGAGGAGGAGCAGCGCGCCGCCTGGGACGCGATGCAGGACGAGGTGGGCCGCCTGGCGCTGGCGCTTGAGGCGCTGCAGGCACAGGTGCAGGCGACACAGCAGCCCGGCGCCCTGGAGGAGCTACGGGCGCAGATGCAAGAGGTGCGCGCCCAGCTCTGCGCCCGGGACGGGAAGGCGCCTTTGGCGCCTCAGGCAGTGTCTTCGTCCCAAGCAGTGTCCTCGACCCAGGCAGTGTCCACGACCCAGGCAGTATCCACATCCAAGGAATAGGAGACTACTGAAGCCTGAACTTGGATCTGGCCATGTGTGCCCTGATGTGGCCTTCTCTCCACGCTACCCCTGCCTGTGCTGGCCCAGCGGAAACCACTGGGATCTTGATGAAACTTGGCCTTTGGTCACCCTGTACTGACCAGTGGTACCTTCCACTGGGACTGTGAAACTTCCAACATAGACCCCTCCAACCTCTAGCTCATTGGTACAATCCACAGTGCTCATCTCTCCAACCCCTCTCCAAACCACACAGACCTGCAAGGTCCCTGCCAGCAGGACAACAGCTCACTCTTCTGGCAGAAAAAAAAAAAAAAATGGAACCGGTACTTGAGCCCAATCGACCTATCAATGCCCCATTTACCTAATTAGTGTTACCTTTCCCTAGGATGCTCATGTATCACACCGGACACCCCCTTCCTTTTGTCAGTTGGTACAAACCACTGTAAGGAATGCAGTGTCTTGCAGTGGACTTCTGCCCCCCTCACCTTCTAAGGTGTGCTGTAGCTGGGCATGAGCTTTTTTTGAGGGGGAAAATAGGATCCTGGTTTGCAGTTGATCCACTGAATATTATATTTTCCCTTAAATTGATCCTTGGTACCTTCTCCTGAGACCCCAAGTGGAATATTCCAACAGAACCCTTCAGTCTATGGCACAACCCCCCTGGAATGGCTGTCCAGTCTTCTCAGGCAATGCCCTCCCAGCCCCGCTTTGGTGGTGGAAAAATTGATCGTGCCTAGGGCTAATCCATCTTGTCTTTCAGCCTCAGCTTCCTGTTTACCTGTCCCCAGAGTCCGTGGGCCTTTCCTGACATGTCCTTTCCAACCTTCCCCACTGTCTTCTTCAGTGGCCTGTCAGAGGACTGCCAGCCATGGATTAGATGATCACACCCCCCATGTTTCTTTTAAATCTGTTGATCTGTGTGCTCTTGCCCTCTACCCCTGGGGCTCTGGACTAGTCCAACAGCCCCCCTTCATGCAGTGGTACCTCCTGCCTCCAAAGCCCCAAATCCCACCTCCATCCCTTTGGACTAGGCCACTTGTTGGTCTTACCTTCCTTAATAGTTTCCTGGGGCTAATTTGCCATAACAAATTACCACGAACTTGGTGGCTTAAAACCATAGTAATTTATTCTGTCACAGTTCTAGAGGCCACAGATCCAAAATTAAGTGTCAGCAGGGCCCACCAACTCTGAAGGTTCTAGGGGAGGGTCCTTCATTGCCTCTTCCGGCTTCTGGGGGCTCCAGGTGTTCCTGGGCTTGTGGCTGCAGATCTCCAGTCTCTGCCTCTGTCTTCACATGGCTTTCTCTTCTGTCTCTTATAAAGACACCTGGTCATTAGATTTAGGGCCACCCTAAATCTAGGATGGTTTCACTCAGAGATCCTTAATTCCATTTATAAATGCCCTTTTTCCAAGTAAGTTCACATTCATAGGATCCATGGGTTAGGATGTAGACACGTCTTGGGGGGCAGCATTCAACCCACTATACCTCCCCACTCCCAAAGTATGCTGGGACTGCTGCCAGCCCCGTGGGACATTCAGCCTTCCCCATGTGGGTGAAAGGAACAGTCCAGGAACCACCCTTCACTACTTGGTTTCTCTTCCAGGACTCACCCCTGAAGCAGAGAGGGATGTGCACCCCACCAGTGTGCATTCTGTTTTTCAGACTGTAGATGTTTGAAGGAGCCCTGGGATGAGGAACTCATCTTAAGGATATGTCTGAGAACCATGATATGGATCTCCAAAATGGGTACCAAGCTCATTAAAGTTAGGAGAGAAGCTGAGAGAGATCTGATGGGGGTGAGCGTCATCCTATGAACTCTTTCTCAGATGGGGAAACAGAGGCCCAAAGGAAGCAAAGGGACTTGTCCAAGCCTATGAAGCCAGTGAGGGACCGGATTCAGTGGGGAGACAGAGAGAGGAGCCCAGGTTTTCCTGGGTGTAGGTTGTTGAAGAGTGCAGAGTGAGGAGGAGGAAGATGAGAGGGAGGCAGATTACTGGGGGAGGGGCAGGGATCTCTACAAAGAGATCCCAGTGGCAGTGTCGAGAGTGGGGTCCCTCCATCCCCCGTCAGAGCAGCCCCACATCACACCAGAGACAGCATTTTAGCGAGCGGGGTTGGATTCATTCCACCTGGGCCCCATTCCAAGAAATGGGAGAGACAGGTTTTCTCTCACTTCCTCACCTCACTTTCCCTGGGGTTTAAAAATGATCTGGACACAAGACCTACGGAGGTAGAAAACCAAGAAACGGGGTTTCTGAAACATTTTAATTTCTTTCAGAAGAGGGGGAGAAGCTGGTGTAGTGGGAGCTAAGGAGGTGGGTCCTGGTGGGCGTGTCTTTGCAGGTGACCTGAGTGGGTTAAATGATGAAGGGAAGAAGGCAAGAGAGATACCACTGCATTAAAGAGTGACGGATAGAGCCAGGTGAGCGGGCTCAGTGCGTGGTTTCCATGGTTACCTCCGGCAGTCCACTCTGGCACTGACATCTCTGGAGCATAGGTTGCTGGAGGCCAGGGACGGTGACTGCAAACCCTCCCATCATGTCAATAAATAGCAGCCATTCTAACAGATGGAGTTTATTGAGCTCTGGTTAGGTGCTGGACACTGTTTGAGTGCTTTATATTACCCCAATAGCGTTATGTTCTTTATTTCACAAGGAAACTGAGGCACAGAGACACCTGCCCAAGGTCACACAGGCAGGGAAGAGGTGGAGGTGGGACCTGAAGATGTTCAGTCTGGGCCAGAGTGCAAGCCCCTAACCCCTGCGCCATTTTGACCCTGATGTAGCGCTGCTCTAACGTCTGTGAGACTCAAAACTCAGCTGTGATGTGCCCTGACATGTGGCCAGACCTGAGGGTTGCAGCAGCTTCACCCACCAGGTGGTGGGTGTGATCAGGGTGTGTGGAAAGAACCGCCTCTCAATGCAAGAGGCCAGAGGATGGAGGGTTCATCGCTCTGGCTTCCTACTAGTGAGTTTTGTATACATTTGCGACTTGGGGAGAGGGGTTAGAATAAATTTGTAATTCAAGTTGGTTGTCTTCAAGTTGATGCATTTTTTTCATATTTGAAAAACCTGTTAACCTTAGGGGAAATGTCCTTTGTTTATTCTTTCATTCAAAAAACTCACCCAGGTGCCTACTGTGTACCCTTCCCTGTTCTGTGCCGTTTGGATTCCCAGTGGTGACTAAGACAGCCCGAACCCTGGCCTCACAGGGCTCACAGTCCAGTAAGGGGACAAACAGACGCACACACATATTTCTTTTCCAGGGTTACCTGCTCCGCCCCAGGTTATTTGGGGAAAAGGAGCCAGGCTAATACTAGACACCTCCTCTCCTGAGGGACTCAGGGCTTTAGGGAGTAAAGAACAGAGAAACCCATGCACACTGGCTCTCAAAAGCCTCCAAACACGTCTAAGGGCTCTGCCTCTCCCATTTCCAGGCACGCCCTTTTGTCCTGTGTTGGTTTCCCTGCCTGGCAGGCTCTTGCCTGGAGAAAGCCACTGCAGGAGAAACCGGACCTCATAAAGCCCCTGCCTGATCCATTGGGCCATCCAGCCAACCCTGTACGAGCCACTGTGACACGAAATGACCAGGCTGGGTCCCTCAGCCCCAGTGGACAGGAGAGGAGAAGCATGTCCAAAGGAGAACTGAGTAAGCATCATCCACCTGCTCCGTTAAACACATGTTTACTGAGCACCTACTACATGCCTGGCCCTATTCTAGTAGCTGGGAATAAGCCGGGAACAAGACAAAGTCCCTACCACAATGGAGCTGAAATCTAGTGCAAGAAAGGGACAGTAAAGTAGCCCAGGTTCGGCCGAGTGGCTCAGCTGGTTGAGAGCTCGCTTGGGAGCGCCAGCTCTGAGCAACAGGGCTGCGGTTTGGATCCCACATTGAGGGCCCGTGACGCTCGCCCTCTACAGCTGAGATGATGAACAACAAATTGACCTGGAGCTGGACTGCTGTGAGTCGCCGGCGACGGCATAGGCTGCAGCAGGGCTGCAGTGGGCTGCCGTGAGCTACGTGAGTGGCTGGCAGCCAGTGTGAGTGGCCGGGAGCCGCTGTGAGTGGCCGACCGATAACCGGCAACCGATTGCCTCGCCTGGGAAGAGCACAATGATCATACCAACATGGGCCAGTGAAGCGACGTCCTCCACAACTAGACTGAAGAACAAATACAGCAATTTGTCTACCTGCCTGTTCCCCTTCCCAGATTCCCCAACACTGTTCCCCTCCCCCCAATTTCCCAATAAAATCTTTAAAAAAAGAAAAAATAGCCCAGTATCAGAGTTCAGGAGTAATGGGGATGGCTCATTTAGATCAGGTGGTCAGGAGGAGGCAGTGTTTGAGATGAGCCCTGAAGGAGTGAGAAAGGGTTACTAGCATATACAAAGGCCCTGAGGCAGGTGCGGGGTTGTTTCTGGAACAGCAAGAGATTGTTACCAGAACAGAGCAGGGGTTGGTGGACTAAGGCCCTCAGGCCAGATCCAGCAACCCACTGCCTGTCTTTGTAAATAAAGATATATTAGAAAACAGCCACACCCAGCCAGTTATATATTTTCTATGTCTGCCTTTGCACTAAATGAATATTTGTGATAGATATCATATGGCCTTCCAAGATGAAAATATTTACTGTCTAGCCCTTTACATAAAGAGTTTACCAGCCCTGGAATAGAGTAAGCAAGGAGAGGGATGGACAAGGGGGTTGGGAGAGCAAAGGCCCACTTGGCACAACCCTGGAGGGTCAGACCAGCTCCAGGCGCCCCATCGGATCAACTGTTGGGATCAACCCACTTCAGCTTCTCTCTGCCGTGCCTTGCTTTGTTCACTCCCCATCCACAGGAGCCGTTCCCAGAGACTCTGCAATAACCCTACGGCACACAGATCTCAGCTCCATCTCAATCTACGATGTATAGTTTATATAATCCACCACATACATACTTATATAATAATTTGTAATTCACCCTAAATATGTATTATAAATATCGCATAATTCATGCATTATGTGACATAGTATATAATGGAATATAAAATATATTTTATGTAACGTGTATATATATTTATATGGTGTCAAAAAATGTATACACATTTTAAGAAAGGAAAACTATTAAAATTGTAATACTATATAATGATAACAAAAGATGAATACAAGTCACATTTGACTTCTGCAATTACAAGAGGTGCTCAAAGTGGTTACCATCAGTGTCCAGACACTTCTGATTATGGTGAACTACTGCTTGAGCAATGTTGACCAATGTGTCCATTTATATACATTTTTTTGGCAACCTCAGTATATATTATTGGAATGAAAGTCTCACTAAATAATTACTTTTAATATGTGCAGTGCAGTCTGATATTTCTTATTTTATTGTATTCCATTTCATAAAGAAAAACTACAGGGCCGGTCGAGTGGCTCATTGGTTAAGAGTTGGCTTGGGAGTGCAGGTTCGGATCCCACATGGGGGTCAGTGACGCTGTGCCCTCTACAGCTAAGATGGTGAACAACAGCTCGATCTGGAGCTGGGCTGCCATGAGTTGCCAGCGACGGCGTAGGCTGCAGTGGAGCTGCAGTGGGCTCCCATAAGCTACCGTGAGCAGCAGGCAGCCAGCGTGAGCTGCCAAGAGCCGCTGTGAGCAGTTGTCCAATGGCCGGCAAGCAACTGCCTCACCCAGGAAGAGCGCAACGATAATACCAACATGGGCCAGTGAAGTGACGTCCTCCACAACTAGACTGAAGAACAAAAGGACAGCAACTTATCTGTTCCCCTTCCCCGATTCCCCAATGCTGTTCCCCTCCCCCAAGTCTCCAATAAAATCTTAAAAACAAAACAAAACAGTGCATTACAATGCAATCTTTAAAACAAACAAAAAAGAAAAACTACAGATATATATGTGTATATACTTAATATGTATTATAAACATAAAACCTATTGTATGATATAACACATAGACTATATGTTAATATCGTACATTTTATATATCTTGTTAGAACACAAGTTTCACTTAACAATACTTTCCCTTACCACGTGCAGTGCACCCTGTCAGTTTCTATTCTATTTTATTCTATTTCATAAAAGCATATTCCTATGTACGTATTATACAGACATACATAAAGTGGGCCGCCTTGGGCCTCAGTAAAGACTGCCTTTAAGACTATACTTTCAGAGATCATTTCTATAGTTCATTACTAGAGAAGTTTCTCTGATTGTGTAGAGCACCCGAAGCCACGAGGAGGAGTTGCAGTGTTTTCTCCTGAGCGTGAAGACAGCTTTTGGTGTTGCTTTCGAGTCTGCCATTAGCCATTGATGATCGTTGTTCTCTTCCTTTGGGAGAGTTAGAGGTAGAGAACGCAGTCTGAGTGGGGGAAGAAAAAAAAAAAAAAGACTTTGCCTTCTACTCTTGGTGAGGCGGAAGCCACAGGAAGCCTCTGAGCAGAGGAGGGATGTGAGCTGACGTCTTTCACAGGGTCTCTGTGACAGCCACGTGGGGAGCAGACTGTGCAGGGCAAAGGGGAAAGCCGCCAGCCCAGCTAAGAGGCGACTGTGATTATCCAGATGGGAGGTGATGGTGGCTGGGCCAGGCAGAGACAGTGGAGGTAGAGAGAAGGGGCATTCTGGCATATTATAATAATACCTCAGAGGTGGAGCAGGCAGGGTTTGCTAAGCGATGGGATGTGGGGAGTCAACTGAGGGCTTGCAGATTTTTGCTCTGTACACCTAGTAGGGAAACATTGGCAAGCTCTGAGATGGTGAGTGTCCAGCAGAACCAGGTATGAGGGGATACTGATAGCCTACCCTTCCCTACCCGCTGGTGGCCTCAGATTTGGGTGCCCTCTGGCAGGCTGTGGTTATTCTGGGGCTGGAAAGACAGTCTTCGCCATTACTAACATGACCTCACTGAGCTCCTCCTGCTGTGTAACAGTCTTCATTTCCTCTACTCCTCTATCAGGGACACTCCTGGTGTCCATTTGGGACATCCTGAAGAAAGGAGGCAAATGGAGGTGGTGGGCTTGGACCTGGGACCCTGGTCTTAGGGTCTCTGGCAGTCCCAGGCCAGACTCCCAAAGGTGCCTCTGCCAGGTAAGGGCTGGTGTGGACCTGGGGGCACTGTGGGCTCCGTCACATCCAAGACTCCAGCCTCACTCGGAGGGCACAACCCCGCACCTTGATATTATTGTTTGTACATTGTGCAGCCTCTTCATAAAAGTTCAGCCATTTGAGAGAAACCAAAGTCCTTTGCCTGAAAGGAACCCTACGTCCAGGGTGGGGGAACTTTGGCAGACCCCTTTCAGGAGTGACCTGGCCATCAGGCTCACTTAGGACCCCTGCTTTGTGGGCACTGATGTATCCATTTCTTTCCTCTTGTGACACTGAGCAGTCTGCATGTGTCTCTCTGGCTGGCATGCGTCTTTCTTTAGGGAGATACCAAGAGCTGAAAGAATTGAATATGTTAAAAAGGCTTATAGTTAATGTAAAAATGACCCCTAAAATCTCGGAGTAGCAGAGGAACTGTCAACACTTGAAATTATCAAACCTTTTATTTTTCAAGCCATAGAAGTGCATCATGGAATTTCATTGTTTTAATTTGCATCTTCCCGCTTACCTGTAAATTGGGCATCTTTTCAGCCACTTACTGGACATTTGTATTGCTTTTGAAAAATGCCTGTTTTCACTGTCCCTTTAACATTTGCTTCTGGTGTGTTTTGTCCTACTGAAGTTTTTCTTTTTTTTTTTTTTAAGATTTTTATTGGGGAATTGGGGGAAGGGGAACAGACAAATTGCTGTCCTCTTGTTCTTCAGTCTAGTTGTGGAGGACATTGCTTCACTGGCCCAAGTTGGCACCATCATTGCGCTCTTCCTGGGCTAAGCAGATCAGTGGCCGGCTTCTGGACAGCTGCTCACAATGGCTGCTGACCGCTCACACTGGCTACTGGCTACACACGGTAGCCCATGGCAACCCACTGCAGCAGGGGCTGCAGTCTATGCCATCGATGGCCACCCAGCTCCATGTGGAACTGTTGTTCAGCATC